GCACTATGGCCTCTTTCTTCTGTGTTTCAGTTTAAGAAGAGTAAGGGAGAAATAAAATATACCAGAAGAACTGGGATACTCTCGACCAGGTGATCAAGGATGAGGCAGATCTAGGATCCCAGAGTAATTTGTTGCAGTCTTGGATAACTGTTTGAAAGACCTGCCCTAATTTTTTCATCAGCTGAGGAAGGATACAATCAACACACACTGCTCCGGAAGTTCACTCACCCTCGGAATGCAGAGCATTTCCAGTGGTGTGGAGGGCAGGGTTTGTGCCAGGAGTGTGGACTGCTCAGCACTTGGCAAAGCCTCTGCAACACCTAACATGGCATCTTCTCCTACTCTGCCCCTGAGAGACCATCATTAGATGGTAGCTGATGAGTTTGTTCACAATTGCTGAAGCCAAGGTAATGTGTGAATTGTAACGCTGGGAACCCTGAGGTGGAAGGTACATTAAGTTAAGGTTGATTGTAAACCCTGAATTATGCTTCCTAGTAACTCTCAAATGAGGAAGGTCCCATCCTTTCTTTTTTTTTTTTTTTTTTTTTTTTTTTGTCACCAGGGTCTCTTATTTCCTTAGGCTGATGTCTTCAAGATAATAGGAGTACTATCAAAACAAGAGATGGCTGTTCCTCCCACAGACCTGCCACTAACTCCAGACATTCCTTTCCTGATTTGAGAAAATCAGATGGATTCTGTGTTTCCTCACAAATCAGAAGAAAAATTTTCATTGCAAAACCTGTACTACAGGTGAACATGAACTTCACTTGATTCTCCTCTTCACAGAATAGAAGTTTTTCAAGTATTTTAAAAACCTTTCCTGGTTTAAGCACTGAATGGTTCTGCAATGGGAGTCATCAAGGGAAAAAAGAAAGGAAGGAAGGAAAGGCAGGCTGAAAGAGGGCAGGCAGGCATGGAAAGAAAGAAAGGGAAGAAAGAAAGGGAAGAAAGAGAGGAAGGGAGGAAGGGAGGGAGGGAGAAGGAAGGAAGGAAGGAAGGAAGGAAGGAAGGAAGGAAGGAAGGAAGGAAGGAAGGAAGGAAGGAAGGAAGGAAGGAAGGAAGGAAGGAAGGAAGGAAGGAAGGAAGGAAGGAAGGAAGGAAGGAAGGAAGGAAGGAAGGAAGGAAGGAAGGAAGGAAGGAAGGAAGGAAGGAAGGAAGGAAGGAAGGAAGGAAGGAAGGAAGGAAGGAAGGAAGGAAGGAAGGAAGGAAGGAAGGAAGGAAGGAAGGAAGGAAGGAAGGAAGGAAGGAAGAAAGAAAGAAAGAAAGAAAGAAAGAAAGAAAGAAAGGAAGAAAGGAAGAAAGGAAGAAAGAAAGAAAGAAAGAAAGAAAGAAAGAAAGAAAGAAAGAAAGAAAGAAAGAAAGAAAGAAAGAAAGAAAGAAAGAAAGAAAGAAAGAAAGAAAGAAAGAAAGAAAGAAAGAAAGAAAGAAAGAAAGAAAGAAAGAAAGAAAGAAAGAAAGAAAGAAAGAAAGAAAGAAAGAAAGAAAGAAAGAAAGAAAGAAAGAAAGAAAGAAAGAAAGAAAGAAAGAAAGAAAGAAAGAAAGAAAGAAAGAAAGAAAGAAAGAAAGAAAGAAAGAAAGAAAGAAAGAAAGAAAGAAAGAAAGAAAGAAAGAAAGAAAGAAAGAAAGAAAGATTATAGAACATGTTAAATCAACTGTAGAAAAAGTTCTCTTAAGGGTGGAGGTGTACCTGAACTATGCTTCAACAGCCATCAGCTGACTCTGCCAAATGGCCATCACGGTCAAGAACTATCATAAAAATCAAAGCAAGGATTTTTCCCAGGCAATAATGTTTTATTTTTAAATAAAGTTCAGCACTGTGGTCAACATATTTGGTTTTTATGAGCACTTATTTGATTTCTTTTAGAAAAAAAACCACTTCAGTTCAGCAGTTAAATATTGACTACTCCTTTTCCTACTTTAGGGCTCAGAGAAGCGTATTTCGTAACTAACATTTGTATGTGCTCTATATGTGAGCCCTCTTATTTTTACAGTTCCCTATGAATCATATCAATGAATGACAGAAAGGACCAATTAGAGCTCTGTACACCAGGGAAGAATGGCACTTACATGTTTGTGCAGTCTCATTTTAATGGTTTCAGGGTCCACAGCTCCCCTGAGGAGATTATTTGAGAGCTTACTGCAATTTATTCTTACGACAGTCAGCTTCAACATTTCCTTTTCCAATTTTATCATAATACACTTACATCCAACATAATGTATTACACATTTTCTTGTGAAGCAAGGTAGATTTCATAAATCCTGCAATAAAATCGTCACCTCTTCTTCTGTCCTTAAGTCCGTAATAGATGAGCTATGTAACATATGCCAGCCTTGACAGCAATATCATAGTTACTGCTGGTTTGTGATATGCACAGAAAAGTAGCAATCAAACTCCAATATTATAGTCCTACTTTATCCAACGTCCAAATTAATTCAAAAAAAATAAACAAGATAAGTAAGTATATCATACTACATATTGTAAGTGTGAATTACTGCCCCTTTTTTACACACACTTGTACAGTCTTACCCCCAGGAGCAAGTCTCATCATGCGTCCCTGGTGGGATGCAAACCCAACTGGTTTGCTCGCAGACTCCCAGCCTGCCTTCCCCATTCCATCCCTGCTATGGGATCACCTCTATTCCAGGGCTGATGCTCAGCTTTTTCACCAGATAATTTTCTTTTATAAGAAACAGGGGTTAGATCTGTATTTTTACAATTTCAGATTAAAGGTTCTACAGAGCTGGGGAAAGACATTCCTGACATTTAATCATGCTAGGCTGGACATTTTAACTTATTCCTCTTAAGTTATACTGATCACAGCAGAATTTTATAAAAAAACAAATGAGAACCAAAATCGAGGGAGGCACTTGTTAGCCTCCTAAGAGTTTGTGTATGTTCATAGAGACTCTCAAACAATCCAAAAGATAGCCATCAAATTACAGCTCTTGGAACATTATTCCTACCCAACAAATGAGTTCTATAAAAGTACAAAATCTCCTGGAAAGTTTTTCAGATGGTACAGAAGAGGCAATTAGAAAATAATAGGCTAGACCAAAGAAAACAGTAATGAAAAGTTAGAATAATCCTTGTGCACTCAGTAATACAAAACAGGTGCTCTAACAGTGAAGGTTTAAATGTTAAACCTTCAGGCAGATGTAAATGTTAAACATTCAGGCAGATGTCTAATACTATGCTAGATTTTACAATTCCGGAAGATGCTACAAAAAACTCTGATGTACCTAATAACAGTCTTACATAATTTTGGAAAGTGACTTGAGAAAACTACTAAAACACAACTAGAGAACTAAAGAAGCATGTTTGCATCTCACACCTGAACCTGTTCCAATACCCTCAATGGCATCTTGTGTCCTACGCCTGCCAGACAGGGAACGAGTGCATGTGCTGGAGCTCTCTGACACACTGCGTGCTGGGTGGCTGGTGGCCACCATCTCCTGCCCACCGGCCTGACAGGACAGCTTCTACCTGCTGGTGAGCCAGGCAGGTCCCTGTTGGGAGCTGCCACAAAGCTCTCCCTGGCCACGCAGTGTGCAGGCCCCGTTCAAGGCAGCCTCAGCTTCATTCCTCACAAAATCTGTTGTTTATTAGTGAAATCAGCCCCGTATGGCTGAACTAAGCACTGGCTTGAAGTCACTGAAGAGGGGGCAAAGGAGAGGGCAGCCAAACCGTTTGGAATGCAGCTAAAATACTTTTGAGAGTTTAAGGTTAAAAGGGATCACTGGATCACATACTCTGTCTTATTGCAAGTCCCAAACTGAACCAAGGAGCTTGTTTATGATTAAAACCATTACATTTGCATTAGGTTACCTCACTCCCCAGCACTGATTAATCTTACATGTTTTTTATACCATTTTAAAAAGCTTCAGTATATAGTAATTTTTGCTTGTGAAGGCATTTGAACACTGCACCAAAGCCAACTCTTACAGATCTTTTTGACAAATTAAATTGATGTAGCTTTTTTAATGTATTGTTGTAAGATATTTCCTCCAGTCCTGTAATATTTGGCAGGTATTTTCTGTACCACCTGATCTTTTGTATCAGCTACACACCTTGTTCTACTTTCAGGCTCATTAATAGATACAGTAAGTGATTTCCTGTACACTAATCCAGGTAGTACATCCAAAGGTCACACTGGACACGTTGTACTAGGACCTTATCTGCAATAGTTTACTGGAAATTGTTTTTAGACAATCTTTTCCAAGACACAAGCTCTCGTTCCAGAGGCATGGCTTGTATTCTAGGAGAATATGTACTCATTTGGCTGTAAAAGCCTGATTGAAAGTGCTAATTTTTCTAAGCAGCCCGGCTGACATTGCAGTTGCTCTTACAGTAGTTTACTAGGTTACCATTTAGCGCATCCGCGGACCTGAACAGTGAGTTTATTTTGGATCTTGAAAGACACCGAGCCTGCAGGAACCTGCAAACCACAGTATCATGAGGATTAACCTCTGAAAGTCAGAAGCTGCTTCTCTGTTTAACACATTGTTTAACAGCCTTAGCCACTAGACTTACAAGTGTTATTAACCAGAGGACTAGAGACCATTTTGCAGTTGTAAGCCTAACGATTAGGAACAGAGTCATGATGCTTTTGCGGTTACTTTCTTCAGTTCACCTTCAGATCTCACTGCGTAGGGCTATCAGAATCGCCTTGTAAGACCTGTGGGATGATAGATATTAAGGACATCATACATTTTCCTTATCAAACAGCTTACATCTTCTTTCCACTATCTTGCCTGTGGTTGATGTTAAACAGCCAAGAGTTGTGCAGGTCGTTCCGCTTGATCTTTTGAGAACAGGCAAAACCCAAGTGCTTCTCCATTTCCCGGTAACTTACGTTCTATGTAAAGACTTTTTAAACCCTGAACTTAACGATTTAGCCAACTCTCTCAAGCTCATAGGGTGCAAATTAGCTAGACTCTCCATTAAAAAATAAATAATAAAAAACGAAGCCTAGGTGAGCTTGGAGAAGCAGGTTCCCCACAGCCTCGACAGAGACCCGGCAGCGCGATGCGAGCGCAGCTCCCCGCAGGTCCGGCCGGGCACGTCCATTCGAGACCATCGATCGTTGCTGCCGCTACCGCTCGAGCGCCCAAGCAAGAACCACCTCTGCCCACCTCACACAGACACCCCTTCACCCTTGTGTTTTAATTACGATTTTTAAATTCCCCTCAGCCGCCCCCGCCTCTGGGGACAGCCCCACTCCAGCCTCACCCTCAGTCTCATCCTCATCCTCACCCTCATCCTCAGCCTCATCCTCAGTCTCATCCTCATCCTCACCCTCATCCTCAGCCTCATCCTCAGTCTCACCCTCACCCTCAGCCTCACCCTCATCCTCACCCTCAGCCTCACCCTCATCCTCCCCCTCAGCCTCACCCTCATCCTCACCCTCAGCCTCACCCTCATCCTCACCCTCAGCCTCACCCTCATCCTCACCCTCAGCCTCACCCTCATCCTCACCCTCAGCCTCACCCTCATCCTCACCCTCAGCCTCACCCTCATCCTCACCCTCAGCCTCACCCTCATCCTCACCCTCAGCCTCACCCTCATCCTCACCCTCAGCCTCACCCTCATCCTCACCCTCAGCCTCACCCTCATCCTCACCCTCAGCCTCAGCCTCATCCTCAGCCTCATCCTCATCCTCATCCTCACCCTCAGCCTCATCCTCATCCTCACCC